AATACAACGATAACCTGATCCCTTGAATGGCATGTCTGGGAACCAGTGATGTTTATAATGTTCTGCCAGAAGCTCCTGAAGTGTCTGGCTGAAGGTGTGCAGCAGGACTTCGCTTGTGAGCCCCTTGGTGCGGAGGAACTTGGAGATGAAAGCCACTGCGACTGTGATCTCGCACATCATGTTGGAAGTTGAGGGGTACAAAGGATTCATTGGAACGGCAACCGCCGGTGGCTCAGGTTGGCATGGGATGGGTGGGAAGACCCCAACAGCAAAGTGGCTAGCCCATGCTCCCTCAGGCACCAGGCAGCTGGGAGGAAAAGAAAGATGCTTTAAGGAAGAGACAGCAACCTTTTATCCTTTGTTTTTGTAGAGTAAAAAAAAAGTTATTCTCAAGACAGGAGGCTGTGGAGATAGAAAACCAAGGAACAGTGACCAGATAACATTACTCAGACTTCCCAATGGCTTGTGTGTCCTGCTTTGTAGCCTCTGAAGATCCCCACAGCTGCGCTTCCATCTCCCACGGGCTCAGACTGGTAGTGGTGCACGGAAGTTGCCCCTGGAGTCTTTTGAAGACTGAGGAGAAGAGCTTTCCTTGTTCTCCAAGGGGCTGAACATGCTAGTGTCTCACAGACACTGAACAAAGAATGGTCAAAGTCCCAGATGCAAACATGCAGAACACAGAGGAAAGAACTCAGGAGACTGGCTTTCCCACAAGGCCTTTCTTTGACTAGACTCCAGAGAGCACTGGGAAGAAGGCTGATGTCTTACACTCCTAATCCTGGTGGACACAGGCCACTCTTCAAACTGAGGAGAATGTTGGCTAAGGGTCTACAGAGGCCACAGAATGGCAGTGTGCATAAGTCTAATGAACACACACAGTTCTGTGCTGAGTGCCACAGTTGTGGCATCCCTGGTCCCTTTCTTCACTACTCTTATGGGAGCTCCCCAGGTACCATCCCTTTTCTGAGTCCTCTGCAGTTCAGAAGCTGGTGCTATCATTTGGCACACATGTCAAAGGCTCATTCTCCACAGTGCCAACACTGCAAGGTGAGGCCTTGTTCAGTGAGGTCTCCAGGTTATAGACACCATGCCCCAGAAGAAACTGTGCAACCCCAGCTGATCAGGTCTCTTCTTCTTCCTGGCTTCTCTTGCAAGTCATTTTCTCCATCACATACTTCAAGCAGGATGTGTCCTCACCAAACCCCCAAAGACATGGGGTCACCTGATCTTGGACTGACAAGTTCAGGCCTATGAGCTAAATAAACTTATCAATAAGTTGTCTCACATATTTCGCTGTATTGCTATGACGCTGACTATCACAGCTAGGAAGGCCACCAAAATTTTGATAATGTTGCCTAAGATGAGACCATCTATGTCAGAGAAGGACAGAAGGGATTTTTAACTGAAAATTCTAGCACCTACCTTGAGAGGCAGACCCAAGGAACTCTGTTTGGTTTCTTAGCATCTAAGTTCACATGCTTCCAGGTACAAGCCAAGTCTTTGAACAAACACTTTGTAAACATGTTTGAAAGCGTCATGATACCTGGTGTGGTGGTGCACATGTGTAATCCGGACTCAGGATGAGGAGGACTAAGATCAAGGCCATCTGGATCACATAGGGAATTTTAGGCTGGCCTGGCATATTTAGTGACACCCTCTCTGAAAAGGAAAACAAAAACAAGAGCACCATGTCCACTGACAAACCTTGTGTCCCGACACAGAATTAAGGAGCCTTCAGCCTGGAAGCACTTGGAGAGGGTCTCCTTCAAATCCTGGTAGCATCTGGTCTCAGCAGAGCAAGAGAAGTAAGACACCTGTTGCAGTCCCCTTTTAGAAACTATGGCTGACCTGAGAGAGGGAAAAGGGTACCACTGAGTGGGATGAGGACTCTTGATCTTTTCTGCTTAGGTGAGATTCCATTGCAGACTCTATCTCTATACAGAGTAAGCTCCAAGGATGAGATGCTAGACAACATGTATCACCCAAACCAGTGACATGGCCAGGCACGGGTGCTTCATGCCTACTATCTTTGCTACTCAGGAGTGTAAGATCTGAGGACCATGATTAGAAACCATAGCTAAGATATGGAACCAACCCAGATGCTGCTCAGTAGATGAATGGATCAAGAAAATGTGGTATATATACACAATGGAATTCTATTCCTCCATCAGAAAGAATGGCATTGCCCCATTGGTTAGGAAATGGAAAAACTTCGAAAAAATTATATTAAGTGAAGTAAGCCAGGCCCAAAGAAACATAAGCCCCATGGTTTCTCTTATTTGCAATATCTAGTATATGTATGAGTCAAGCGGAAAAGGTCAGATAATGTGATGTTAGGAAAATGAACCCTTAGATATGTATTTTAATGTTTTTTTCTTTCATGCATTTGTTTCTAACGCATTTATAAGATTATCTCTTTGTTGCATTGTATGTCCCTCCCCCACAGTATAACCCCTGCTTTCACTATGTTTGATGTCAGTATAACTTGTGGAGGAGATGGGGAAAAACAAGTCGTTTAAGGATACAGGTGGACCTGTTGCAACAATGAGAAGTACAAGGTGTCATATCGAAAACGAGCTTTACAAAGTTGGTGCGGGGGGGGGGGGGGGAGGGGGTTGGGTGGGAGTTGAGGGGAGGCTGGGAAGGGATGTGAAGGGTAAACAAAGGAGGAGGCTGCAATGCTTGATAAGAAATGTACGCATTATCTTGCCCATGATTATCCTGCCCATGTAATTGTAACCCCTCTGTACAGTATGTTCACAAAAAAAAATTTTTTTTAATTAAAAAAAATAAACCAGGGCTGGGAAGGTGGCTCAGTGGTAGAGCGCTTGCCTTGCATGCATGAGTCCCTGGGTTAGATTCCTCAGCACCACATAAGCAAAAAAAAAAAAAAGCCGAAAGTGGCGCTGGTAGAGCGCTAGCCTTGAGCTGAAGAGCTGAGGGACAGTGCCCAGGCCCAGAGTTCAGGCCCCACGACTGGACCCAAAAATAAATAAATAAATAAACCAATCCACACAAGAATTTCTGAAAGACTCTTATCCCCACTTAACCACCAACAAAACACACTGAAAGTGGTAGTATGCTTGCCTTGAGATGAAAAAGCTAAGGCACATTGTGCAGTCTTGGTCCCTATGTGCACACGCACACACACACACACACACACACACACACACACACACACACACACGCACACACACACACACACACACACACACACACACACACACACACTCCTTCCCTCCAACAACAAAGTCAAATGCCCTCTCATCTAGGTGGTTGATGACCATCATTAGTTCTATTGTGGCCTTTTATCCAGCCACACACATGCTCTCGACTTTTCACGTGCATACTGGTGAACTGTAGCTCTGGACTAGTCATGTGTCATCTATCAGTGTGAGTTTGCCCTAGGATAGATTCCATGAAGACTGGACCTCAGAAATGAAATGGAAATCTATGACATTGCTATGGGGATCCACAAATAATTGAGATTTGGAGACAAGCAGAGGTCAGTTTGGATCCCAAAGCACAGCCAAGGCTATGGCCATACCATTCTAGTCCACACCGTGGAGTATCACTATCACAGATGAACAAGATCTCTCCTGTCTTTCCACCCATAGACATTCCACTACCATGGCTACACACTGACCCACTGGCAGCAAAACACACCCTTCCCTTGGCTCCATCTGATTTGACCCATGGAACTAGCAAGAGTAAGTAGGAGAAGCCAAGAGTGGGTTTAAGGTCTGCCCTGGGCAGTGCAGGCCCTACCTATTGGGTAAGTTTCCACCCAGTATCTGTGTTACCTAGGTAACCGGCACACCTGGAGGCAGTCACCTCCACTCCTGCTAGGTCACATCCTAGGCAGCCTCTGGTCATGCCTCTCATCTGACCATAGGAGGGTTCCAGTCCCTGAGGTCACATCTGGATCCAGTTTGGCCATTCCTTTGCTCCACCTGGCCACACCCCTTTCCATCCTTAGTCTGGATAATTCCTGGCCCTTGAGTGGGTCACCTTTCTTTGGCCATGCCTCTCCACCCTGCAGGGTGGGGCAGCAGTTCGGTAAATAAACTTCTTTTTGTGCCTGAATACTACGTGGTGTTTGTTCTGTTCCTTGGCTACCTAGTGAAACCTACCTATTTAACGTAACTTACAGTGGGTAGCTCACACATATAATGCTAGCTGAGATCTGAGGATCACAGTTCAACAACAGCTGGGCAGGAATATCTAGGAGACATTCATCTCCATTAACCACTGAAAAGCTGGAAGTAGAACTGTGCACCAAGTTGCAGAATGCTAGACTTAAGTAAAAAATCTCAAGGACAGCACACAGGCCCTGATCAAGCTCAAGGACCAGCATGAAATTAAAAAAAAAGAAAAGAAAAAGAGTCATTGGATATGACCAAAGAAAGGCAGATATAGGGGGGAGAAGAGAAGAAAAATTGAGTTACCAACCAAGTTCAGGCCAAGCTACCTTAGAGGTACACACACCCAGTGCCTGACCCGATACAGGTAGTCTAAATACTAACCTAGCTTGGTCTTACTGTGGGATGTCTGTTGACCAAAGAAGTGTTGAGATAAAAAGCCCCCCACCATATTCAACAGTGGTAGGGGTGATAGAATTTTGGTCTTTCAACTCAGGCAGGACCAGGCCCTAAAACCTTGACATGCCTGTCAGGAAACAAGAGAATTCACAGGTAATTTCAACTACTGATATGTAGACTTTGAGATAAGAAAGGTCTTTGAGTCCACTGCCCTTATCTCTTCCCTACATTTGAGTAGGGCACCCTGTCCAGATTCTGGCTCACCCCTGTTTGTGACACTACATGACACACAATGACAATGATGATGTCAATGGGAGGTTGTCCCAGCAATGGCACTGATCCTCCCACTTGGCACACATATCTTTGGGGCAGCCCAACAGGACAGAAGACATTTTTGATTTGCTACAAAAGTGAGTAACATTGTAGGGAATACAATGTACCTGGTGCGTGTGTACTTCCATGTGGCTTAATCAGGGAACCACAGGAGCTAAGCAGGATCCACCAGTTGGTGAGCAGATACTAAATGATGTCCCATTAAATTCTTTACCAGATCCTAATGTGCAATTAAGAGAGCCTATGGACGAACCTGGTAACCAAGACATGATACGTAAAGAAGATAATGAAGAGAACTTACAAGCGATAGAGGAAGATCAAGCTGTAGATAATGCTGAAGGGAATATTGATTTCAATGGGCTCTCATTTCCTAGAAAGCTCTGGAATGTAGTGGAGTGCAGGTCATTCAACTCTGTGTACTGGAATGATGAAGGAGACAAAGTGGTAATCGAGGCAGATTATTTTCAGAGGGAAATTCTTCACCGAATAGGTGCAGAAAAGATCTTCAATGAAGACAACTTGAACAGTTTTTTTCAACAGCTTCATCGACATGGATTCAGAAAGATACACCCATATGAACCTGTAGCTCAGTCTCATTTGAGCCAAAGAATAATGGTAAGTTAGAAAGTATATCTGTTTCTTGCTTCCTCTGTGATAAAAATATCTTCATAGGCACCGAGGAAAATTCTTTTTTTTTTTTCAAACTAAAAAGCTTTATTGACATTTAACATAGATGGCATACATTGAATCCATTATAAGTTTATAGTTTGAGTGTTTTATTAAGTTTATATACTTGTGCAACCAGTACAGCAAACCAGATTTAGAACATTTCCATCATCCCAAATGATTCCCTTGCAATTTCTACCCCAGGTCTAGCCCATATATCAGTGAGGTACCTTCTCTCTGTAAAGATTTACATTCCTATCCACTTTGTCTAAATTGGCTCATACAACAATGTGTGTTGCACTGGTGGGTTTTTTTTTAATTTTTTATTGTAAAGATACTATACAGAGGGTTACAGTTACATGAGTAAGGTAATGAGTACACTTCTTATTGAGCATTGTTACCCCCTCCATTGTTTTCCCCCTACCATCCCTTCCCTCCCTACCTTCCCTGAGGTTCTTCTTTTTTTAATTGTGACTAAGTGATCACATAATTTCCCAAATTTCACAGTATTGTGGAATAATGATGCTCATTTAAAGTCAAAAGTTCATTCTAACTTTCCTGGAGCAAATTGTCCAAGGACAATTCTTTCCAAGGACAATTCTTTTAAGAGGAGGTATTAGTTGCTGAAAGAAGAATGGAAATACCTTGAAAGTACAGGCTTTGATACTAAGATTCACCACTCCCCACACACACACACCCTTAGACATGATCTACAGGCAAGAAGAAACAGTGAGAGGTCAGGTAATGTCCTATCCATGTATTGCCATGTCAAACTAGGAAACCTTTCTCTTTAGTGAGCTCATGCTGTAGGGCATGAGTGTGCACATCAATTAAAACTCATGTTCTGCATTTCAAAACGTGATTTTGAAGAGTATAATGAATATTTCATTCTAGAATGTTCTACAATGTTTCTTTTTATTTCAGACATACCGAAACTCAAATTTTCAGAGAGATAAGCCTGAGCTCCTTAACAACATACAGAAAGATCTTAGAAATTCCAGTCTACGAGGGACATGCATACCAATCCCACTCAAAAACCCTGCTGGGCAGGTAGCTTATATGCCAACTTCGAAGAGAAGGAAGTTGCTACCAACGAGAAGCTCCCCACGATTCCATCATGAAGCAAACAACAAAAATAAGGAAGCAAAGAGCGGAGTCGCCAGTGGCCCGGGACCCCGAGATGGCCAGCTACTTCAAATCTGTAGTGTATGGGCTATGCGTAGTTTCCCTAGACAGTTTCCGAGAAATCAAACAGCTCAGGAGCAGGAAGAGAATGAGGAAGCCCCATCTAGGGATGTCGCATTTTCAAGCCGAGGCACTTCTGAAATGGAAGGTGGAGAGTTTTCCAGCATGGACCCAGGGGACCCGGATGGTAGGTTCGTGATGCACATGTACAACAGTTACTTTGATGTGCTGATGTCCACCCTCTCAAAAGTTTCCACAACTGAACCTACTGAAGACGCGGACCAAGAGGGTCCTGCAGACTACAAGTTTGTAGTCTGTGAACAAAGCCATGATAATCCACCTATCTGATTACCTAACTGAAGAACAGGAAAATCAATATGCTCAAAATATGGAGCCATTTTATGTGAATAAAGTAACAACTAAATCCTCCTGTTGATAAAGGATCAACATTAGATTCACGAATCAGTGTTGCATGGCATTTTTCTTATCATTCATATATTGTTGGGGTCTATTGCTTCTCTTTCATGTCTTTAATTTCAGTGGCTTCATTTTGAGGATTGGCAAAGGATTCTGCATGGCATTCTTCAGGGAAAGCCAATGAAGTTCAGGTACCCTGCCCTTTGTCAGATGGTAAGAAGAGAAAAGAGGGTGGTCCTCAGGAGGGTGGCATCTCAAAATAGGTATCTTCAAACAGGAGATTGCTTCCTCAAGGGACATTTCTAGAAAGCTTGGGATTACTATCCAAAGGGTACTACCCAAATACTCTGCGAGCCTGCAAGCTGCCCATCCTGCAAGGAATGGACCACCACTGTCTCCTCACTCACGAGAGGCAGACCATTCCAAAACACCTTGGTACTGTTGTGGAGGGAGGTGGGAATTCTTAGAGATAACAGTCAGTAGAAACTTTTTCTTGATTTCAGACAAAATGAGTAAAAGGTTGTTGGAAGAATAGCAGCCACACTTCATGTTCCAGAAACTCCCTGGGTGTGAACACAGATGAGTGTCACATCACAGTCCTTCAGGGTCACAGGCAGTGGGCTGCACCTTTCCTCAACCTAGCCCAGGTCACCTGACATCACACTGACCTCAGGAGTTCCCAGCTTCTACTTGACACCCTTCTCCACCATAGGATAAATACAAGGGGCTGGGATAGTTTGGGTCCATCCTGTGGATCTCATGGCCTAGGAGGAGACAGAAAGAGAAAGCCACAGGGAGGATAGTGGGCAGTGAGTGATTTGAGAGAGGTCACTGACCCTGGAAGCACAGAGGAGAAAGGGCCTCCTTCATAGCTGGGACATCGCAGCCAAACCACTGGATTTAGTAGAGTGACAGTCTCAGCTCTGCTACTTTGCCTGCCTGTCCTACACCAGCCCCACCCATCCTCTCAGCACCCAAAGGCTGCAGGCGCAGATCTGCTTGGTTCCTACCCCAGAGCTTCTAGGCACACCTCCTTGGTGTCTAACCAGAGCTCATGACTTGGACCAAGTGTGATTCCCACTTGGACCCATCAGTGTCACAGACGTAGGACCTCATGCATCACCACTGTAAATACACCCCACCCCCTCCAACTCTACCAGTAGGTGACTGCCTGCCCCTAAGTATGTGCCCCAATTCATCCAGCTCACACCTCTCTTTCTCCTAATCATGACCTGTATCATCCAGCATGATTCCCAGAATTTCCAGTGTGTCCACAACCAGCATCCCAGCCCCACGCCATGCTGCTTGCTGTCTTAGCCAGCAGCACTCTATCCATACTCAATCTTCCCGTGTCCTGCAACTAGGAGCTTGCCTGCTACAACAGTTGTAGGGCCGTCACAGTGCCCATGGGTCTAAGAGAGGCAGATCATGTCACTCCTCTGCTAAAACCTCCCAAGGCCTCCTGATTAACAGCGATAAATTCAACCCTTCTGATGAAAGCCATCGGAGTCCCTTGTGATCTGACTGTTTCCTCTCCTCCTCACCCCAGAAAATCCCTGCAGCCACACAGACCTTTCTTCCACCTTTGGAACCAACTTTGTTCCTGACTGTTGGCCTTTGAAGGGGGTGGGTAAGAGACTACATAGTGTCACCTTACAATTCCTGTCCAAGTGTGCACCCCTAGTACCTCACAGTGAGACCTGATATAGAGATACAGGCTGTTTCCAATGCAATAGCATGAAACAAAGTCATTAGGATGGCCCACATCCAATATTGCTGACATCTGAGTAAAAGTATGGAACTTAGAGACAGACATGCACACAAGCTAACTACTATGAGAAGATGAAGGCACAGCTAAATGAATACGATGCTTCGCAGATCACAATGTGCCAATGACTGCCAGCCAATCAGCAGACACTAGAAATGGGACATGACAGAGTCTTTCTCTCTGTCACAGAAGAGCGGTCCTTACCAATACATTACCTTCAGACTTCCACGTTTGAGAAATGAAGGGCAAAAAATGTTTCATTTGGTAGATATAAACATGTCTAATCAAGGCCAGCAAGCAATGCGTGAGTGCTCCTTTCATGCCATAGGCACCGGTAGTGCCCCCATTTCCCCATCAAACAGCACAGCAAGCTACATCTGCATGTGCCTTATTTGTTCACTGTCTGTGTTGATGTAACCACTGCTCCACCCAAGGCCACTTCCACCTTGTTGCCACTGTCTGCTACTAGAAATGACATTGTCACTGACACTGCTTGTCTGAAGACATGTTGAAGAGGATGTCCAGGTCCAATGGCAGGCCCATCTAAGCTACTGGCATGTGGCAGCAGCAGAAATCTCACAGACACCTGCCATGTACATTCCAGGGCCAAAGGTGCTCTTTCCTCACAGGCCTCAAGGTCCTGAGACTCATCATTCTACTTGAAGTGACAAAGGATCACCTTTGTCCTTGGATGTGGATTACTTATGGTGTAAGTTTATGCCTCTCCTAGGCCTAGCCACTTCTTCTACTGGGAGATCTGACCAGAAGAGATTTGCCTACTTCCCATTAATCAGCTTCTTAGCTCACTCAAATCTGGCCAAGGTTTTGGGAGGAGCAATGTGGGGCTTCAAAGGATGGGATAGGGATGGCCACGGGTTACCTGAGAAGCTGCAAGGGCGGAGGCCAACTGGGCAGTGTGGTTTTCAGTGGAGAAAGTCTGAGTTTGGATGAAGATAGCATGGGGAGGGTTTCAGGTGGACCAGGGCAGAGCTTCAGTGGTTGTGGTTTGGGATTAGAGAGGGAAGGCCTGGGCTACAAGGAGTAGGCTAGTTAGTAGGAAGATTTACCGTGGAGCTGGGCATGATTTCAAGGGAGGAGGAAGTGTGCAGTGAGGTTTCGAAAAGAAAAGGGGGAGAGTTCCGGGAAGATGGCGGAGGAGAAGCTGGAATTTGAACAAGCTCTCGCATAGAAAGCAGTTTTAGAGTTCCAGTGAACAGTCCTAAGCCAGAGAATCACACCAAGTGAGCCATCACAGGACAGAGAGTTAGACAAGAGAGGGGAAGCCAAGACAAGGAGACATATCTGAGCGCCTGCCAGCAGCCGCTGGGGCGGCGGCAGGGTCGCAGCGGCGCCTGCAGCCGCGGCCATACCTGAGTGCTCACACAGAGAGTCCGGGACGAAGGAGCCAGACACAGCGGGTGAGAGGATTCTACTCAACACCAGCAAGAATCGACAAGGAGCGGACATCTTCATCCTGCAGTTTGCAGACCAGAGAAGACCCAGGATCCAAGGCTCGGCGTGAGTAGAAGCCCGACGTCCTCACTCCTTCTCAGGGAGCAGAGGAGGGAAGGCCACCCCTCCCCCCCCCAGCACCAGTGATCTCCATCTTGGATACCGACAAAGCTCGGAGGAGCTGCTAGCTCCAACTCAGGCCTTGGAATAAAACGAGTCATTTAACAGGTCACAAGAACTTAACGGCGAAGTGACCTGCCAGACTCAGCTCCATCCAGGGAAAAGTCACCCAGCTCAGGCACCAGCCATTGGAGTGGCTTTCCTCACTGGGTAACCAGAGCCAGAGGCTGCCCCTCCCTCTAGCAGCCTCCACAATCAATTGAAAAACAGAAACCCTGAGTATGGCTCCAGGCTGGGCTCTGTGAGTTTTTTCACAAAATAGCCCCAGGGAAAAGCTACTGTTTGTTGAAAGGCCTCAACTCTACCAGAACCTAGCCTCATCACCCCTCTTTTGTGATTCTCAAAGCAGATCACCCTCCCATTAAACTAACCTGGGAGGGGGATCTCAAAATCTTGGGTAAAGCAGAGCATTTTTCTGCCTGTTCGAACAAACTGACTTAAGAAACCAATCAAGCCACAGGACCTCAAGCTGACCAGAGACTCCAACAAGAGGCTGGTTAAAGACAAAAGGGAGATACAGGATTCTTCCCACCCCTCCCAAAAAAATCAAAAAAAAAATCAAAGAACTTTTTTTTTTCTTCTTTTCTTTTTTCTTCTTTTTTTTTTTTTTTGGTACCTTATATATATAAAAAAATTTTTTTCCTTTTCTAAAACTTTTATTAATCTTTAATTTTTGCCTTTTTTGAAAAATAATTGTTTTCCAGTAACTTTTTTTCCCCTCTTATAATTTTTATTTTAGGAATACATGAATGTATGTTTTCCTTTCTTTTCTTGTCTTCTCTCTCTTTTTCTTTCTTTCTTAATTATCTTTTTGTTTTTTGTCTAGCTCTACTGAACTTGTGATCTTTTTTTTTCTCCCTTTCTTATCCTTTTCACCTTTTCCTTTCTTTTGTTCTTCTGTATGTGACTTAACTCTTGTCCTGCACATCCTCAGATAAACCCATAGTTAACTAGTAGACCCTATCCCCCATTGTGTACACACTTAATCCACAAATTTATTACTCAATCCGAAACCTCTGAGACTTAAATTCCTTAATAGCAGTACTACCTCTTTATACCTATATAATATTTTAAGCATTTTTTAAGTTTTTCACATCTCCTCTATCTCCCTCCTGTTTTCTCATTATATTCACATTCCTCTCTAAATAGATGGTCTTTCAATCTCCATAACTATATTAATTTTTACGTTTCTAATTTTTTTTTCTGGTCTCTTTTCATTTCCCTTTCCCTTTCTTCTTTTTCTCTCCCTCTCTACTTGCATCCTACCCTACCTATTTCCTGCATTGAGATTAGGACATAGTTAACTCTCCCTGTGCCTCCCCACACCAATCTATTCCTAATTTTTACCCACATCTCTCCCTAACCCTAAAAATTTCTGGTTTTCCAAATTCTTCTCTGCGGTTCGAAGCCCATTAACATATAGTTGTATGATGTTGAATAGATGTATCTGTTGAACTAGATTGTATCTGTAGACTATTGACTGTATAAATGCAAACGTTGGTTGATGGTTGCCTTAAGATAGTGTTCTAGC